ATATATATATATATATATATATATATATATATATATATATAATTATAGATAATAGTATATTCTAACCCATTTAGTGGATTTCTGCCCATTGTGCGGTATTCTGCGAAATCAATTTTTGACCCGTGAGAGAGAAAAGAGAGAGTAGTTTTCCGGAGCGGAATCCCTCCGAATCTGGTAATTCTGATATATTTATTTTCATTGACTTCTGACAGATTAGCTGAGTCGCGGTTATACAATCGGAAACTTCAGTACCAATGATTAAGTCGTGTTGAAGTTGAGCATCCAAAAGGAAAGTATTATTAATTTTTAAAATGACATTTAATGTATTATATATCATTTGGATTGTATAATTGAAAAGAACCTGTAACAAGTATTGTACTTCAGATTCTGGGTCAATAACCCCCATCTCGATCAGGTTTTCTTTCAGTTTCCCTGATCCTCGAGCAAATGCTGAGATGGTCCCTTGTTTTGCTTCTGGACATAAATGTAACTTCAAATTAACTTCTCCCCATAGCACGTCATACACAGTTTTAAACTGTTTTTGGTATAAAATAAATAAATAAAAGTTCTTGATTGAATGACCGTGTCTACCTGATGAATTGTCAGATGTCACCACACTTAAATCGGAGTATACAAAGCATATGCTTGTCATAATTTACAAAAAGCAAACGAACTCAGTCTACACCCGCATCCAAGTGGCGAGCAACCTGCTTTAAGTATGGTGTACAACGAACGCATGCATAAAATTTGCGATATGAGTAGGTTGTGTATGGTTTAAGATTTTAGGAATCTCAGTTTTATTGTTCAAATTTTTTTGTATGTTATTTGTAAAAATATGGCTTCATCAAAAGGCTATTGCTGTAGTTCTGTTAACTGCAACAATAATCATCTCGATCAGGTTTTTGTCCAGTTTCCCTGATCCATTGAGCAAAAGCTGAGATGGCCCCTTGTTTTGCTTCTTGACGTACTGACGTAACGGACGTTTTGTTGAACTCTGCTTTTGCTTGTAAATAGTAAGAGTAGAAGTAAGGGCGAGTGACTATTTTGTTAGCAACGCATAAAAATTATACTTGCAGTTCGTTTACCGATGCAAATAAGTTTATATTTATAATTTAAATTCGCACTTTTTCACGGTTTTCACTTAGAATATGAAACCCACTTTTATAGAAAGAGTTTTCATGTACTGTAATAGTTCATCATCTTCCTATAATTAAATCAACAATATATTTGGCCCTGTTATTCATTATTCAATTTAATAGAGTGGCTAGCTCTAATTTTTATCTAGGTTTTGGTCGTTTGCCTACTTACATTATCTCAGGGTATTCTCGTGGGCTAGAAAACACCACTTATACGAGTATTCGGATGGTGATAATTTAATTTTGTTAGAAAATATTCTGTTAAATAATCATTTTACTAATCCTAATCAAAATCAAACACTTTGTAATTTGTTTTGAAATTATCAGCGACTTGAAGTGTCGGCTGCAGAATTACTTTTTATTTCAATATTCTATTTTGTTTTTAAAATTTGACAATATCTCATTGTATTTTCTCCTACTGTTTTCTCTACTGTTGATGACCATCGAATATCTCTTTAGAAAAATGATAATTCTTTTTCTAACTTAATTTTAAATCTACTAATTGAACATGCTTAATTGTTTGTAAAGTCTTTTTTGCAACTTATTTTCTAATCTTTCCTTTGAGAAGATATTTCAGCAAACTTGGCGTTGTGATGAGATCAGCGACCATTTCCATATGTCCATGCATGAATATTGCTCTTTCCTCGCTAATCAACTTTAGCTCACTTGTTCCCATACTCTCTAATACTCTTAGACCACATGTCCATTTTCTATCTTTCACACTCAAAACAAAGGGTTTTACATGACGCCCTGACGGCTATAGATCCTCTCGCTACTAAATCCAATATCATTGAAAGCGTTCGTCTTCACCTACGATTTGTGTTAACAAGTTCACTTGTTTGATTGTACTTCGAATCGCTGCACTCTTCTCGTCTCCGCAACGATGCATCTAGGCCTCTCTTGTCTTATATCAACAATGTCCCATGTTTTTAATATGATTTGTTTTCGATTTTTTTCGATGTTTTTGCTTCCAGAAGAAAATATTGCAATGCGGCTCATACCTACGTCAACATTTAAATTGTTTGAAGAGTAACAGCTAAAAGATAAGTGGTTGAGAAATGTAAGAAAACAACGATAGCGGCTCATAGAGGATGATGAAGCTACTTTTGGCTCTATTTTTTCATTTTAAATCGTTTGCAGTTCAAAGCAGGGGATTAGAGAAGGTATTGGCTTCCGTTTCGAATGGTCAATGCGTGTACCTCAGAAAATATCAAAATTTTAATATTATGACTATCACTTCATTTTTCACACTGGCCAAGTTATATTGCGATTAACGTAACAGGAAAATTTACAGAGATTGAGAATTGGATTAAGTCATGTAAATAACATATAATAAAATTAAAGAAATATTGAACAAAATTAGTAAGCGCTTTTGCATTTTTGCTAGCAAACGAAAGAAAAAAAGTCATTTATTTTAAAATATAAGATAATGGTAACACCTACATTAGTTTTAAATGAACTGTTAGCGAAATGCGCGGTTGTTAATAAGCTACGTCTCTCTTCAGAATGTATTCTATGGATCTCTATGTGACATAGCAGCAGGTCTATGAAATGTGACTTACCCGTATGAAGGAAACTGAACAATTTGGTAAGCCACCTGGTTTTTATGGAAATCTGTTCCAAAATATAGTTCTTCAAATAAGATCATGTTCATTTAAAAAAAAAACAAGAGCAATTTTGGGGTAATTTATGTATCAATGACATGTGTATGTATAAAAAAGTTAATATTAACTAGTTCGAGAAAGTCTGTGCCATTCGTGGCACCACTAGTTTCTTATGACATCGATCTCGGTCGTGCTGGAAACCTGCTAGCCCGGATACACAAACGGTTTTTGTATTTCTCTGCAAACGGATGCTTCAGGGCCAGGAAGTGTTAAAAATCTAAATGAAAATGTTACCAGTCAAGATCTTTTATTTCTTTCATGGAAGCTGACAGGCTTTGTTCCTTCACGAATAAACCCATTGTTCTTTTGACCATGGCTTCAGATTCCTTTTGTGGACAGAGCTCTATATACTCGTATATGATAGAGGCTGCGACCTTTCTCTTTGCTGACGATTTCACAAGTGCGAAGACCGAAAACTTAAATCTCTTTTTAACCGATGCCATTTAAAGTTCCGAAAAGGAGTTTTTAATAGCATGTCGAAGAAATCAATAGCGTCGCGAGTGAAACCAATTCGTTATCATACCGGGTGGTCATCTGTAATGAAGATTACAAAGAAAAGGTTGTTTCCTTTGAAGTAAGTGCTGATGTAAGTTTTAGGGTTAGATTAACAAATTTAATAACTTAAATTATTTTACAATAGTTCCTTTTAAAAATTGATTTTTTATTGTTTACATCCTGTGTTCACCACTACTTTAGGCAGAATAAATGTATTTTTGCATGCTTATTCTAGTAAAAATAAATGTCATTTTGCCTGCCTGTTTAAGAACGTAAAGTAAGAGCATTCATTCATTCTCTAGCATTTCTCACAGTTTTGTTTTCTCGTATTCACGTGAGGTTCTTGAAATTTAATAAGTTCCAAGGCAATACTGTTCATAGGTTTTTGCAAATTTATTTTGTTTAAAATACGGTAATACCAACGAGCTAGAACAAGCTAGAGTGGCTGAAGCGCCTCCATCTTTGCAGCAAATTAAAACCATGATTTTTGCAATCAAAGCAGCGCCCTCTGGAGACACAGTATTCTAGTATTCCGTCTGGCGGTGGTTAAGGCAGAATGGATGAGGATTG